GGGGCCTCACCCTGGAGCCAGGCCTGGGGTGGGTGCTCGCCAGCGAGCGCCTGGTGGCCGAGCCTCCCCCACGGGGCTCGGCCGGGCTTAGCCCGAAGGAGCGACGTGGGGCCGTCCTCACGTGGGCCCCACCACCTGCGGGAGGATCCATATGGGGCCGGTGCAGAGAGATCTGGGCAGCAGTCGACGGCGGGGGCCTCGGCGACCAGATCTCCGGACATGGAGACTAGCTCTGGGGACATGGAATGTCACCTCGCTGGGGGGTAAGGAGCCTGAGCTTGTGCGGGAGGTTGAGCGTTACCGACTAGATATAGTCGGCCTCACCTCCACGCACAGTTCGGGCTCTGGAACCCAACTCCTTGAGAGGGGCTGGACTCTCCATTTCTCTGGCGTTGGCCGCGGGGAGCGGCGGCGGGCTGGTGTGGGCCTGCTCATTGCCCCACAGCTCAGTCGCTGTGTGTTGGAGTTCACCCCGGTGAACGAGAGGGTCACGTCCCTGCGCCTTCGGGTCGGGGACAGGTCTCTCACTGTGGTGTCGGCCTACGGGCCGAACAGCAGTGCAGAGTACCCGGCCTTCTTGGAGTCCTTGGGAGGGGTACTAGACAGTGCACCGACCGGGGACTCCGTTGTTCTCCTGGGGGACTTCAACGCCCACGTGGGCAACGACAGTGACACTTGGAGAGGGGTGATTGGGAGGAACGGCCTCCCTGATCTGAACCCGAGCGGTGTTTTGTTATTGGACTTCTGTGCTAGTCACAGTTTGTCCATAACGAACACCATGTTCGAGCACAAGGGTGTCCATAAGTGCACGTGGCACCAGGACACCCTAGGCCGGAGGTCGATGATCGACTTTGTAGTCGTGTCATCTGATCTCCGGCCGCGTGTCTTGGACACTCGGGTGAAGAGAGGGGCTGAGCTGTCAACTGATCACCACCTGGTCGTGAGTTGGGTTCGCTGGCGGAGGAGGAAGCCGGAAAGACCTGGCAGGCCCAAGCGTGTAGTGAGGGTCTGTTGGGAACGTCTGGCGGAGCCCTCTGTCAGAGGGGGTTTCAACTCGCACCTCCGGGAGGACTTCTCCCGGATTCCGGGGGGAGGCCGGAGATATGGAGTCCGAGTGGGCTTCATTCTCGGCCTCTATTGTCAATGCAGCTGCTCGGAGCTGTGGGCGTAAGGTCTGTGGTGCCTGTCGCGGCGGCAATCCCCGAACCCGGTGGTGGACACCAGAAGTAAGGGATGCTGTCAAGCTGAAGAAGGAGTCCTATTGGGCCTTGCTGGCTCGGGGGACTCCTGAAGCAGCTGACGGGTACCGGCGGGCCAAGCGTGCTGCAGCCCGTGTGGTCGCGGAGGCAAAAACTCGGAGCTGGGAGGAGTTCGGGGAGGCCATGGAGAAGGACTATCGGCCTCAAAGAGATTCTGGCAAACCGTCCGGCGCCTCAGGAGGGGAAAGCAGTTCTTCACCAACACTGTTTACAGTGCGGGGGGAGAGCTGCTGACCTCGACTGGGGACGTTGTCCGGCGGTGGAAGGAATACTTTGAGGATCTCCTCAATCTCACCGTCACGTCCTCCTCCGAGGAGGCCGAGGCTGGGGACTCGGAGGCGGACTCATCCATCACCCTGGCCGAAGTCACTGAGGTGGTTGGCAAGCTCCTTGGTGGCAAGGCTCCGGGGTTGGATGAGATCCGCCCTGAGTACCTGAAGTCTCTGGATGTTGTGGGGCTGTCTTGGCTGACACGCCTCTTCAACATCGCGTGGCGGTCGGGGACAGTACCTCTGGACTGGCAAACCGGGGTGGTGGTCCCTCTGTATAAGAAGGGGGACCGGAGGGTGTGTTCCAACTATAGGGGGATCACACTCCTCAGCCTTCCCGGTAAGGTCTATGCCAGGTACTTGAGAGGAGAATTCGGCCGATAGTCAAACCTCGGATTCAGGAGGAGCAGTGTGGTTTTCGTCCTGGCCGTGGAACACTGGACCAGCCCTACACTCTCCATCGGGTGCTCGAGGGTTCATGGGAGTTTGCCCAACCAGTCCACATGTGTTTTGTGGATCTGGAGAAGGCATTCGACCGTGTCCCTCGTGGTGTCCTGTGGGGGGTGCTCTGGGAGTATGGGGTCCGGGGCCCTTTGCTAAGGGCTGTCCGGTCCCTGTATGACCGGAGCAGGAGCTGTGTTCGCATTGCCCGGCAGTAAGTCAGACCTGTTCCCGGTGCATGTTGGACTCCGCCAGGGCTGCCCTTTGTCACCGGTTCTGTTCATTTGTGTTTATGGACAGAATTTCTAGGTGCAGTCAGGGGCCGGAGGGGGTCCGGTTTGGGGACACACAGGAATTTATCTCTGCTGTTTGCGGACGATGTTGTTCTGTTGGCTTCATCGAGCCAGGACCTGCAGTGTGCACTGGGGCGGTTTTGCAGCCGAGTGTGAAGCGGCTGGGATGAAGATCAGCTCTTCCAAGTCCGAGGCCATGGTTCTCAACCGGAAAAAGGTGGCTTGCCCTCTCCAGGTGGGTGGAGAGGTCTTTGCCTCAAGTGGAGGAGTTCAAGTATCTCGGGGTCTTGTTCACGAGTGAGTGAAGGACGGAACGTGAGATTGACAGGCGGATCGGTGCAGTTTCGGCAGTGATGCAGTCGCTGTATCGGACCGTTGTGGTGAAGAGGGAGCTGAGTCGAAAGGCGAAGCTCTCGAATTACCGGTCAGTCTTCGTTCCTACTCTCACCTATGGTCATGAGCTCTGGGTAATGACCGAAAGGAAGAGATCGCGGATACAAGCGCTCGAAATGAGTTTCCTCCGCAGGGTGGCTGGGCGCTCCCTTAGAGATAGGGTGAGGAGCTCAGTCACACGGGAGGAGCTCGGAGTAGAGCCGCTGCTCCTCCACGTCGAGAGGAGCCAGTTGAGGTGGCTCGGGCATCTGTTCCGGATGCCTCCTGGGCGCCTCCCTCGGCAGGTGTTTCCGGGCATGTCCCACCGGGAGGAGGCCACGGGGAAGACCCAGGACACGCTGGAGGGACTATGTCTCTCGGCTGGCCTGGGAACGCCTCGGGGTCCCCCCGGAGGAGCTGGAGGACGTGTCTGGGGTGAAGGAAGTCTGGGAGTCCCTGCTTAGGCTGCTGCCCCCGCGACCCGGCCCGGATAAGCGGACGAAAATGGATGGATGGATGGATGGATGTTTAATATTACACATGTAATAAAAAGAGAAAACATTCCAATGTTGATTAAATGTTTCAATAAATATTTAGTTTGGGTCATGACTTAGTCCCAGTTTTTAATTTTGAATTTGAGTTTGACCCCCTGTACTAAGGTAACACTGTAAACATTTTTAGGAATTTTGATGATGTCCTGTTGGCCACTTTATGCACACACATTTACAGTAGAAATCCAACAGGTACTTCACCACTGGGACATGGGTCACTGATGTTGCGTCCTTGGGCAAGACACTTAACACACCTTGCATCCTGTGTCTGTCTAGTGTTTAAATGTGTGAGTGGTTCTTAAGATAGAACAACAACTTTTTCTAATGATGTGAATCATTCAAATTCCTTTAAATGTTATATTACAATACATAAAAATGTCATCAAGATATGTGAGTAATACCTTTTACTTGTTCTTTAATTGGCTCCACGTCACTGGTCTGCTTCTGGAGCTCCTGGACTTGGGCTGTTAGACCTTAAACAGAAGTACAATTGAGTCAGTGTGCAGCAATACTACATTTTTAAATTTACATGCCTAGACAAAGGTTTGATACTCACAATCACAATGACTACAAAACCCTCGGGTGTGATTTTCAACACAAAATTTTGCAATGACTGCTCTTGAAGTGTCTGAGTTTCAGACTGACTTGTTGTACCTTGTTGCTGTTGTTTCAGTGCCTCCACATCTCTGGTCTTCAGCTCTCTCAGTTCGGCTGCTTGCTCTAAGATGTCACATATAGTGTAGAAAAATACAGCATGAATCAATTACAAAATATAAAAAAACCTTTTTGATTTGTATGTTGCACAGAAGTGTTGCATCTGTCCTTGGTTTATTGTGTGCAGCTGCTCGATAAATAAAACTCAACACCAATTTTGATACCACAATACTGATTACGCAACACTCTTCAGGCAGCGAAATCAGATGTTTTCAACACAAAATAATATTGGTTTCTTAATTTTACAAAGTGGTCCTATACTGGTTCTTTTTACTACCAATTCTAGCTCGAGAAAGGTAAAAATCACCTTTTTTGACATTAATGTATCCACTTTTACACTGACTGTTTTAGAGCTGCCCAAGAGTGATTTAATGACTGTACCTTGTTGCTGTTGTTTCAGTGTCTCCACATTTCCAACTCTCTCAGTTTGGCTGCTTGTTCTAAGACATCACGTTCAATGTCAATCAATAACGTATAAACACATGACAAGGCCTAACATAAATAGACTTCAGTGAGTTGTAGAGAAGTGTTGATTCTGACCTTGGTTGAGACACTGCAGCTGCTCGATCTTGACTCTGTGTTCAGCCAGGGCGACGCTCATGTGTCGGGGCACAGCCTGGAGGTCTGGTGGACAGGGCTGAGGCTGCTCTGGCACATTCACACTCTCAGGACTGGCTTGTCTTTGGTCACTGATCTCATTGTCCTGAAGTTCAGCTCCTGACAGAGAGCAGAGCAGCAGCAGTGCACACAACACACTCACTCTTTCCATCGTGTAAAGAAGAATGAGCCCCACAAACACTCTCACACTTTTATACAGACTTTATTACACATGTTACTTAATACCTTTTATTATTTACTGTCATTGTGATACGTATTACCTTTTATCATTTACTGTCAATGTGTTATTATTCAGGTGTACGTGACTCTAGGTAAGATGACGTACTTCAATTAAACATCTTTATCAGAATATTTTATGCCAGGGTATTATATTGAATAATACATATCTTTGATTAGCCGTTTGTACTGACCTTTAATTGTTCATTTATTTATCTGTGCCTTCCATGACACTCAAGGACACTTAAAAGATGAAAAGACTTAAAGTGACAGGTTGCCATGTTTTTATTCATTGTGTGGTTTAGTGGTGTAGTAATATTTAGTCATAGTTTTACATCAGTGAAAATGGTATTATAGTAGCACTTTAACAGGGTTTAATGTAGCTATGTCAGTGTCCATGTTCTCAACCAAACTGTGTCAACCCTGAACTCACGACATACAGAAACAGAATATGTCTGGGAGATAAGATATAAAGTTGGTCTATGTAAGAGTAAAGGGAGTGATAAAACTGAAACAGAAATAAAAACTCTTTTACTATTACTATTATTATTATTATTACTTTGTGAAACATAGAACATAATTTCAAAACTAAACAAAACTGATTTAAGACGTATGTACAAATATAGAGCAATACATTCTTAACCTACAATCTCAAGTGAGACACTGAAACCAACTTAAATTAATGTATTAATGATGTTTTTTTGTAGATTACATTTTTAAAGATGGTCATTAAAATGCTGTTAAGGTATTAATAGTTATATTTATTCTATACTAAATGTAGAACATTAGATTTTCATGTTTTCATGTTTAAGTTTTTGCCTGTGGATTCCACTAATGGCACAGGAAAAAGTAAAAAACATAGGCTGTGTGGTGTGGTTTTAAAGCTACAGACCTGTGAAAAATGTGTGAACTGTTTGAATTTATAAAAAGTTAGATGTTATATAGGAAATCTAACATTAAGAAACAAGCATCTGTCACATGAGGAACAGCAGGTGACCACTGAACGTGCTGTGGTGATTTCCATTATCATAGATTCTTGAATTCTGCCACTGACGCAGAAACACAACATCTCCAACCTCCAGGAGCAAAGTGGCTCCATTGGCTGAAGTGCCTTCTCCACTTGTCTGACGTTCATAAGCAATAAAAATATTTTCTCCATTCTTCACCAACACAGCACCTGAAGGATGTGAAGCATCCATTGGCCCATAGATGTAGAACTCAAAGTGGTAGGCCCCTCTGACCGGTGCAATGAAAAACCCTGTAGGATATGTACATAATGTTAGTGTTGGTAACGCTCACATAGATCACTGTAACATGTGTGAGTTTATTCACCTGTGTTTGGGCTGTAGGCGTTTCCAATGTTTGAGACCACGTGTCTGAAGACCAAATTAGTGTGAGTGTTAAAGGGGCCGAGGGTTACTGTGTCTGAAGCCACTAAAGAGGCGGAGAAAGCCACTTGTCCCACTGAAAATAAGATAATCATAAAAGTTTGGACATTAACAGTCCGCAGTCGAAAAATTTGCAAGTCTAAATGTGGATCATAGCAGTGGCTTAACCATGTTATTATGCACACCTTAACCAAAGTCTTTCTCATTGTTGCACATCAACCATACAACATAGGTATGCACCCCCAATCTTGAGAGGGTGTTTTCTGTGGTGGGCTTTAACAAAACAACAAACAGAAACAGCTTGGCCTTAGATGGCACCCTCTTGTCCATCATGGCCATAAGATGACTGACTTGGAGCCCTGCTTCAAATGAGAGCCCTCACCCACAATCATCAAGGCCTCCAAGAAGGATTATCAAGAACACAAAACCTGAACCAAACACAAACAAAAAAAGAAAGCTTTACAGCTTATCCACGTACCGTAATTGAACTGCAAATGGACATTCTATTGCTTACAGAGAAAATGTGTTAAGTTATAAGTAAACACGTAATACCTTTTAGTTGTTCTTTAATTGGCTCCACTTCACTGGTCTGCTTCTGGAGCTCCTGGACTTTTGCTGTTAGTCCTGTAACAGAAGTACAATCGGGTCAGTGTTCGGTATTGTTAGTGCGATTCCAGATTTAAAAATTCAATTTACATGATCTGATAATAGTTAAGATAGATTTTATTTGTTGTTGTTTTTTTGACAACGTTAATGTAAGATAAAGATTGACCAGGATGTGAGAGGACGCTGGCGTCTCTGTGATCGCCGCTTCTCCATCCGTCTATCTATTTATTGTTTCTGACCCTTTTTCACATTAGTACTGCTACTTTCTCTGCTGCTATCTCTGTGTGCTCTTTTGTGTTTAGACTGCGATCAAGCTTTCTAGGGATTACTGTCTTGGAGGTTCCTAATTTTACCTGTTGGCGTCTCCCGGCTCTGGAGTACCTGTCACTGGATCTGTGTGCTGCTTCTCCATCTACTGGACTGTCCATCCAGCAAACCCCTACTACCATCCTGGTTAAATCGAGCCCCATCCATCAGTTTTCAACAAGCGACATAGTCCATTCTGCAGTAGCCGGGCGTTTGTAGCTAGCGGCTAGCGCTAGCTGGCTACTGGCATCCTTGCTACTGTCGTCAGGGGCTAGCTCCCGACACCGCCGTGCCGTGCACTAGCTCCCGACACCGCCGTGTCGTGCACTAGCTCCCGACACCGCCGCAGTTGCCGCATGCTCCAGACCAGCCGGTTTGTGGCACACACAGCGCTCCATGTCTTTCAGCCAGGGCATATTGCTCTGTCTGGTACTTTTATGAGCAGGTCCGTTGTTTAAGAGTTACCTCGATGCTCCACCGCCGCCCGACATGGCTCTCAAGTACTCCGTCTCTCAACTCCTCAAACTTAGTTGCTCCTCGATTCCTCCGTGCATCTCAATAATCAAATCCCTTGGACTTCTTCGCAGGAAAAAATACATCCACAGAAGCTCGCGTCACAAGTTTGTTTACTCCGGCACTCCTCAGTCGATTCCATCCATCTGGTGCAAAGCACCACCGCTACGTCATCATAACAAACCACACGTGTCCTGTCTCCGCCCCCTTCCTAAAGCACCTCTGTCAGTTCCTGTCATTAAATCCGTTAAATTCACTCTGCTAAACACCCATTCCCTTAACAATAAAAGTGACATTTTGAAAGAGCATATAATAGACAATAATTTGGACTTTCTTTGTCTTACTGAAACCTGGCAGCAGCAACATGACCACTTTGCACTCAATCTGACTACACCCAATGGTTACAGTAATTCAATCAAACCTCGCTCTGAAGGTCGTGGTGGTGGCATTGCAGTAGTACTTAAGCAGGACTTTGCCATCAGCCCCATTTCAATTCCCTCTGTCCCGTCATTTGAACACCTGGCCTTCAAAGTTACTGCGTCAACCCCCTCACCGTTGCTGTCATCTATCGCCCCCTCAAACCGAATCCTTCGTTCTTGTCTGATTTCACCACATTCCTGACCCAACTTCTCTCTCCCCCTCCATTTTGCTTCTAGGAGATTTCAACTTCCACCTGGACTCCACCACCTCCAATGTTGCTACTGACTTCTTGGAAATATTAAACTGCTTCAATATCAATCAACATGTCAACTTCCCCCACCCATAACCGTGGACATATTCTGGATCTTGTCTGTACTTCTGGCCTCTCCACATCAAACCTCTTCAGCACTTTCCTTACCATATCTGACCACCTGGCCATCACCTTCACCCCTGACATCCCTGTCCCTCATCAAAAACAGACACGTTTGCTGCACTTTCGTAAGTGCACTCCCAATCTACCCTCCACACTCACGTCCCTTCTGGTTGAACATCTATCCACAGCCACTCTCACTGACGCTCAATCTACAACAGAACTCACCACTCTCCTCTACATCATCACCTTCTCCTCAAGCCTGGATCAACTCGTCCCCGGTAAAACCAAAACTGTCTCATTCAATCACTCTGCTCCCTGGTTCACTCCACAGCTAGGTCACATGAAAACCAAAGGACGTCAGCTTGAAAGACTAAGCAAAAAGGCCGGTCTCACCATCCACACCCAGCTCTACAAAGACCATCTGCAGTAATATAAGGAAGCCCTGTCTCAAGCCCGGACCACCTACTACTCCCACCTCATTCAGTCAGGCTCTGGAAATCCCAGAACACTTTTCACCACCATTAACAAACTCCTCAATCCCCTGGATAATGGCTCACAATCATTCACAGCAGAAAACTGTACCTCCTTCCTGTCATTTTTTCAAAACAAAATCACCAACATATGCAGCCACCTCTCTTCATCTCCATCCCTCACTCTTACATCTCCCTGCCCTCCCACTACTTGCTCCACCCTGTTCCATTTCTCCCAGATCTCCCCCTCTGACTTACCTGAACTTCTGGAAGACATGAAAACCTCCAGCTGTTCCCTCGATCCCATCCCGTCCACCCTCGTCAAAGCCTGTCTGCCTGCTCTATCTCCACTCCTCACCTCCATCATAAACTCCTCTCTGTCCACTGGCTCCGTCCCCTCTGCACGAAAGCTCGCCGCCATTACTCCTATCCTCAAAAAACCTGGACTTGACCCTGACATTCCAAACAACTACAGACCCATCTCTAACCTCCCATTTCTCTCCAATCTCATCGAACGTGCAGTCGCCACCCAACTGAAATCCCACCTCACCACCCATAACCTCTTTGAATGTTTCCAATCCGGTTTCCGCTCCCACCACAGCACAGAGACAGCCCTCCTCCGAGTCACTAATGACCTCCTGCTCTCCTGTGACTCTGGTAACATCAACATCCTCATCCTCCTGGACCTCACTGCCGCTTTTGACACCATTGATCACTCCATCCTCCTCTCCCGCCTGCAAACCATCTTCAACATCACTGACAGCGCCCTGTCCTGGTTCACCTCATACCTCACCGACAGACACCAATTCATCCATGTCAACCATTGCAAGTCCCCCTCTGCCCCACTTACTCAAGGAGTTCCCCAAGGTTCAGTTCGCGGCCCCCTCCTCTTCATCCTCTACATCCTCCTCCTCGGTCACATAATTCGCCGCCATGGCCTCCAGTTCCATTGTTACGCTGACGACATCCAACTCTACCTGTCCACCAAAACCATAACCCCGGCAACACATTCCACCCTCACAAACCGCATCTCCGAAATAAAGTCCTGGCTACAGTCAAACTTCCTCCAACTCAACTGCAGCAAAACTAAAATAAACATTATCGGCCCCAAAACACGAACCAGAACTCACAATAACTTCTCCCTCTCCATTGATGGCTCCTCAGTCCGCTCCTCCTCCCACCTCCGTAACTTCGGCATCCTCTTTGACCAGACCCTTTCCTTTGAACACCACATTAAACACATCAATAAAACTCCCTTCTATCACCTCCGGAATATTGGTCGTCTCCGCCCATCCCTCTCCCCTCAGTCTGCTGAAACCCTCATCCATGCTTTTGTCACCTCCTGCCTCGACTACTGCAATAGCTGCTCTACGGTTCACCCTCCAAACTCCTCAATAGACTCCAGTACATCCAGAACTCTGCTGCCCGCACCTCCTCCCGTGAACACATCACCCCTGTCCTCAGAGAGCTCCACTGGCTCCCCATCACCCAGTACATTCAGTTCAAACTCCTCACCATTGTGTACAAGTCCCTCCACAACCTGGACCCCACCTACCTCTCTGAGCTCCTCCACCACCACACCCCCACCCGTGCCCTCCGATCAGCTGATGCCAACCTCCTGTCTCCCCCCGTCAGGACTAAACATAAGACCTGGGGGGACCGGGCCTTCTCCACCTCTGCTCCCTACCCTCTGGAACTCCCTGCCCAAACACATCAGAGACTCATCCACACTCCCCGTGTTTAAAAAAGCCCTGAAAACCCATCTCTTTAAAAAAAAAAAAAAAAAAAAACTTTCATTAACTGTCTTTTCTCTTGTTTGTCGTTGTTTGTCTTCCCATGTAAAGCGTCTTTGGGTATCTTGAAAAGCGCTATACAAGTGTTATGTGTTATTATTATTATTATTAGTTCTGTTTCCACTGTCTCAGGAGTTGGTAAAACTAAAAACCACCTTGTATTTACAGTCACACCTTTCAAATTGTCTGAGGTTAAGACTGACTTGTTGTACCTTGTTGCTGTTGTTTCAGTGCCTCCACATCTCTGGTCTTCAGCTCTCTCAGTTCAGCTGCTTGCTCTTTAAGTTTGGCTCCTTGCTCTAATGTGTCAGATATATTATAGATAAATACAGCACAAATTACTTACAAAATATAACAAAATTACTGAATTACAATGTTGTACAGACATTTTGGTCTTGCATTGTTGTTGTTTTTATTGCCAATCCAATCCCAGTGTGTCCACATTTACAGTGATTTAGAACTGTCTGAGATTAAACACAGTACCTTGTTGGTGCTGTTTCAGTGTCTCCACATGTCTGGTCTTTATCTCCAGCTCTCTCAGTTCTAAGACATCACATATAGTTTTGATTAATAATGTTTAAAAATGACAAAACATGACATAAAATGACTTCAGTGAGTTGTGGAGAAGTGTTGATTCTGACCTTGGTTGAGAGACTGCAGCTGCTCGATCTTGACTCTGTGTTCGGCCAGGGCGGCGCTCATGTGTCGGAGCACAGCGTGGAGGTCTGGTGGACAGGGCTGAGGCTGCTCTGGCACATTCACACTCTCAGGACTGGCTTGTTTTTGGTCACTGATATCACTGTCCTGAAGTTCAGCTCCTGACAGAGAGCAGAGCAGCAGCAGCAGTGCACACAACACACTCACTCTTTCCATCGTGTAAAGAAGAATGAGCCCCACAAACACTCTCACACTTTTATACAGACTTTATTACACATGTTACTCATTACTTCTTAAAATTACTCATTTCACAAGGTCTCTCACTTTTATACAGACTTTATTATACATGTTACTTATTACTTGTTAAAATTACTCATTCCAGAAGGTCTGTCACTTTTATGCGGACTGTATGAGAATCCATTAGTTTTTTCTCACCACTTTTTTATCTCTACCTTTTTCAAAACTTTTTTCATTTCTGCATAATATAATAATCTGCTAATATTGCAGATTAATTGATTAATGAAGATTTTGTTTCAGAATCAGAATTGCTTTATTCATCTTTAAGGGGAAATTCTTTTCATTGCGAACATGCGGCTAACCAGAAGAATAGCCTACATGTAAGAACATTTTAATATCCATATAGTGTAGCAAAATACATAAGTCTAATACATCAACCAAACCCCGAGTGAAAATAAAACAAACTGATTAAAATCTAATCAAAAGATTAGATTATAAAACTTTAATCAAATCTAATCTTTTTATCAGTTTGTTTTATTTTTCACTGGAGGTTTGGTTGATGTATTACAACTACCCTCATAACATATTTACATTTTAATACAGGTTTACAACATTTAACATTTAATTTTGCTAAATGGATTGTACAATGAGATTTTCACAGAGTTCAGCAGTTTGATGACGACTGGCAGGAATGATTTCCTGTGTCTGTCAGTGGAGCAGTGTGGCAGTGACAGTCTATGGCTGAACAAGCTCTTGTAGCTTGTGGAGTGGGTGTGAGGGAGAGTCCAGAGTAATCTTGATTTTGGACAACATCCTCATGTCCTATACTAGCCAGAGAGTTCAGCTCCTCCCGATAACTTCTTGAAGATCTATTACTTGGTCCACTATGATTTCCTTGGGCTTCATCACATTGAACTAAAGGTGGTTTCTCTCGCTCGGTCAGCGGTCCCCAACCTCCGGGCCAGGGACCCGTACCGGTCTGTGGGCCATTTGGTACCAGGACGCACAGAAAGAATAAGTAACTTACATTATTTACATTTTATTTATTATCTGAGTCTGAAAAATGTTTTATTTTGAAAAATGACAAAATTCTCTCTGTTTATGATTCACTATTGACTCACTCTTGAGGCATGTCAAGATGCTTGTCTTGGTCACGTGATACATTAATGCTAATATTAAACCCGCAAGATGCAATGCGACAAAATGAGTAAAAAACAGACGTCTTTGGAAACGTTTATTATTATATTAACAAAATACAACAGTAAGTTTGTGTTGCGAACAGGCGGTTTATCTATCTGGCTTTGTTATCTCGTGTGTACCTCTTTAGGCAGCTGGCCAAGGCTTAGAGCCTTTGTTTGGCAGTTTCGAGTGCTTCAGGTATGGGCATCTGGCTGTTCGAACCCGCGTCCCCCATGTGAAAGTCCAGTGACTCAAATTTGGTCACATTTCTGGACAGTGTCAAATGATTCATATCTAAAAAAGAACATGTTTAAGTTTAAGTTAGCGGCACGGTGGCTGAGTGGCTAGCACTCATGCCTCATAGCAAGAAGGTTCTGGGTTCGATCCGCAGGTCACCCAGGGCCTTTCTGTGTGGAGTTTGCATGATTCTCGCCATGTCTGGATGGGTTTCCTCCAGGCGCTCTGGTTTCCCCCATGAACCCAAAACATGCTACAGGTCTCCAGAACAGTTGATAGTCAAAGGTCAGTTAAAATACAGTCATTTCAATCATTGTGTGTCCTTAGGCAAGACACTTCACCCACATTGCATAGTATGAAAGTAGTGTGTGTGTGTGTGTGTGTGTGTGTGTTTGGCATGTGTGTGTGTGTGTGTGGCAGCTTACCATCACCAGGTATAGAGTGAATGAATAATGATCTGTAAAGTGTCTTTGGGGACGAAATATATAAATGAAGACTTATTTTTACATTGGGTTTGTGCACATACTTTCCTACAATTATTATTTTTGAAAGCATTCTCTCGATCTTGTCTGTGTCTTGATCTTCCATCTCTGAATTTTATTTTTATAAGTTTTGTCTGTTTTAGTGACCCCATATCATTCTTTTTAAAAGTCTGCATTGTGAGCAGAAGGGTGGCTAGATGTGGCGTATAACCAGCTTTTTCTCTGTTTACAGACCTACACAAACTTGACATCACTCCTCTTTCCCCACTTCCTTGAGCCTTGACCGTGATGGGGGTCACTCCCAGTTAAACTTTGGTAAGTTGGATAAATCATCAACCTACTGCTCTCTACTTTGATGATTTACAGTAGCTTTGGGTTTATTTTCTTCTTCTGTTTGGGAAATTTTGGTGGATGCAGAAACTATCTGAGAAAGTATAACAGAGTCTACTGGAAGGAATCCAGCAACTGTTTTTTCCTGTTCCCCCTAAATTATGACATGAGTCCAAAAGTGTTTATGTAACCAATTATCTACAAACTAAACTCTATAGTGGCTGTGTCTGGAGCTTGTGTCTTCACAGCGACTTGGAGCGACTTGAAGTATAATCCCTGATTTGACACTAGACACTGGAACACACATGTAACAAAGTTCTAAAGTCATAACACAGTTCTGCTCTCTAATATCTGCATGTTTTATACAGAGAATCTGTTTTATGATTTATAGACAGAGTTACATATTCATATCAAGACACATCACGTCACTTTACTTCTCAAAACATCCATGCTGCTGCATTATGAAGAAAAGGTGTTTCAGTAATGTCTTTCACATGCTCCTTCAGATTTTGACAACACAAAGTTCACAATTAATTTGACACCCTTGCCTGCTTAAAATCTTGGACACAACCAACAAACAACTAGTAGCTCAGTGTTCCAACATCCACAAACGGCAATTGCTATCACAACTAGAGATTGATGAGGTACAACACAAATGCCACGGCAAGGGGGAGCCAGCATGCCAGGTCAGAGGGGAGTTGACACCAACTCCCCAACCAAAGATTGGGTACGAAGCCCCAATAAGTATCACGCTAAGTGAGGCAGCAACTGACCTGAAAGATAAGATCATGGCCCGAATGAACACAAGGCAACCCCGATGCCAGTTACAGAGGCTAAGTGAAGTACCATCTGAAAGTCTCCTAGACGATGTGAATGCAGCACTGAGAGCGATCCCTACCACAACAATCACTGAAACCAATGAGCTGATATACACTTCAGCAGCAGTGATCCTAGAGGTGTTGGGCTATAAGAGCAACCATGGGAGCCATGAGATACGATACCCACCATGGAAAAGACGGTTAGAGGCTAAAATCAAGTAGGTGCGGAGAGAAGTGAGCCAACTGTCAGAGGCCCAGAAAGGTGCAATGAAAAAGCAAGTGCCCAAGAGGAGAACCAGTTGCCCATACCTGAAGCACTTGAAACTGCCAAACAAACGCTCCAAGCCTTAGCCAGCCGCCTAAAGAGGTACACACGAGATAACAAGGCTAGACGAATAAACCGGCTGTTCGCAACACAACCGGCGAAAGTGTACGCTCAGTGGCAGGGTGGCAGTGGCAGAGCAGACCCACCAAGGCTGGAGACTGAGACGTACTGGAAAGGCATATGGGAGAGGGAGGTGTAACGCGTAGTTGGCTAGGCGGTCTGACTGCAGTATTAAGTTGTTTCAGAAGAAGATTCTTTTGCGGTCCATCACCTTTTCAGAGTTAGACATGGCCAGTTGGTAACTTTCTCTCAGATGTTTCTTCAGGTCTTGGACGTATTGTGAGTGAGAGGTTGAGGAATTTCCTTTCAGGGGTAGTCCGAAAGCCAGATCGACAGGTAGGCGAGGTTGACGACCGAAAATTAATTCATATGGTGAAAATCCAGTCACGTCATTTTTAGTGCAGTTGTAAGCATGCACGAGAGGTTTAACAAAGTCTCTCCAGCGGGATTTCTTCTCCTCTGTCAGAGTGCCCAGCATATTCAACAGGGTACGATTAAACCTTTCCACTGGGTTCCCTCTAGGGTGGTATGGGGTAGTTCGCACCTTCTGGATACCAGCAATATCACATAGCTCCTTGATATTGCGAGATTCAAAATCTGGACCCTGATCACTATGTAGCCTCTCCGGTATTCCATAGTGAATGAAAAAGTTTTCCCAGAGGCATTTGGCAACAGTACGAGCTTTTTGATTGGGTGTGGGCACTGCTATGGCGTATTTTGTGAAGTGATCAGTTATCACGAGAATGTCTTTGGTCCTGCGGTCTGGTTCCAATGATAAAAAATCCATACACACCAATTCCAATGGGCGCGATGTTTTAATATTAACCAGTGGCGCAGCTCTCTCTGGTAATGCCTTGCGTTTCACACAACGTTCACAAGTTCTGACCTTCTGGTGGACATCAGCAGACATTTTAGGCCAAAAGAATCGGGATCGGACCAGATCCAACGTCCTCTCAATTCCAAGATGACCCATCTGATCATGAAGGTGCGACAGCACTACAGCTCGACATTCCTCTGGTAACACCAACTGATAAGTTATCCGACTTCCGACCTGCCTTCTCCTTACAAGAAGGTTGTTCTGGAGCTCCATTTTATTTACTTCTCTCAGAAGAAGGGGCAACTCAGGAAGTTCATCTCGAAGTGTTGGTGGTGGGGTTTTTCCTTGCTCAATCTGCAATATCACATGCTGGATGATGGGATCTGAACGCTGTTTTGCGGCAAGATCAACAGGTGAGTACTGCGGAAGGATCAGAGAGGTGAACTGTGTGTCGTCGGTAAAACTGTCAGGTAAGCTTCCAGGATGAGCAAACATTGAGAGTACAAGGGCATGATCAGGATCAATAGATGGAGAGCTGTACAACAACTGACGGCCACAAATTGCTTGGACAGTGTGTTGGTCAATGACATTTTGGACTGGTGTATCAAGGTGACATTCAACGAACTTGAGCACTCTCTCATGTTCTTTTTTGGATACATGATCATCAGGCAGCTCAGGATGAGGTCGACGGGACAGACCATCAGCGTCAGCATTTTGTTTGCCGGCTCTGT